GTACTAGTTTTGGGCAGAAGAGGAGCAATAGGGGTTCGAGGTGAGAATAAGGAAGTGGGCTGGGTCTATTGGGCTTGTATGACTGTTGTTTAGCAGCATTTTGAGACTGCTCATACAATTTGGCCATATTATAAGCTGCAACCAATGTTTGTGGATTGGCTACCCTTACCATTGGGCCTATTTCTTCTTTCAGCCCACCAACAAAACATTGCACGAAATATAGTTCATCAAGGTAGGGACGAACTACTTGGACTCTACAGCGTAATTCCTCAAACCTCTTCTGATAGCTTAAAACATCGGCCCATTGTTGTAGTCGATTGAAGGTTGTGACTACATCCAAAGGCCCAGTACCATCACACCTTTCACAAAGGTCCATACAAAATTGTCGCCAAGTGATCCACCCACCATGGTCCATGATGTATGAGTCAAACCAGTTTCCCAAATCATCCTTCGCAGTTGCTACTACACACAACATTTTTTCATCTTCAGCAACCTGATAGTAATGGACGTAATATTCACATCGTCTTATCCAGCCCCTTACATTTGTTTCATCAAAGTCAGGGAAAGGCAACTTGGCTTTTATATGACGAGAATTATTTGATAGGGTTGCTGGCAGTGAGAAAAAAATGGGTAAAGACGTGTCGGTGTGGGGAGGTAATTGGGTTATCATTGTAGGGGTTTGAGAGCTATAGATGGGTATCTAGGCAGTAGTAAAGGGAAAGGGTGGTAAGGGTCCTGTAGAGAGGGGATTTTGGTTTGAAGAATTTTAAATTTGAGGTGGGTACTGTGGCATGTAAGATGAGTTATTAATCATGAATGGATGGCCTGATCCTGACATTGGTGTTTTGCCATGGGGTTGGGAATATAGGCGCCAAAGGTTAAAGGGCTCGTTGTTGATAAAGTGTACGAGGGTGTGAAGGGTCTACTATAGGCAGATAATGAAGAAAAAGGTCTGGTCGAGCCGATGGAGGTTGGTATGGTGGAGCTCAAAACAGAGCTATAAGTATGGGGAAAATGGGGATTCATAGGAGGTAAGGCTAGGGTTTCGCTCAGTGACGGTCCAGATCCATAACTAGGGGTGTGCATTCGATTTATCGATCGATTTTGACCCTTATCGATAATTACTTATCGATTATCGATTTGTACATATGCTTATCGTTATCGTTTCAATAAGGTTTCGATTTTTTCGATTTCGATTTATCGATTTTGGGGGCTTATCGATTCGGTTATCGATTACACCAATAAGAAAATTTGCGGGATTCCACGAAAAGTATATCGCTATAAACGCGCCTAACTAGTATGGACAAAAAGAAGCTAAAATAAGACGAACACCATTTATAATATAAAAATTGTGTCAACAAGCACATGCAACAAAACTAAAGTAAGGGATCAAATGTATGCCACCAACACTCCAACGGTATAAAAAAAATAAAATAAAACAAAACACATCATCACGGCTAATTCTGTTTTCCATTAATTTGAACTTCATTCCCTTGATCTTTAAATATGATCATTCCTTAAATGTGGTAGAGGAAATAATAGGGTAAGGGACTTAGGGTAAAGGAAAGGGTATAAATTAGGGAAAATAATATTGTATAGCCGCTTTCAAAATAGTAGCGGAATATATACATTCTGTATATTATATTAATCTACACAAATAGGTAATTACTCATTTAACAAGTGTCTACAGTCTAGGGGTGTGCATTCGATTTATCGATTCGATTTTGACCCTTATCGATAATTACTTATCGATTATCGATTTGTACATATGCTTATCGTTATCGTTTCAATAAGGTTTCGATTTTTTCGATTTCGATAACAAATAATTGATTCGATTTATCGATAAACTGATCCGAATGCACACCCCTAAGACCAACTATCAATGCGCGGGGGATCTACCGGAATCCCGATCCGTAGTCCCCAAATATAAATACCCAGTACTGGGGGAATCTACCGGGTGCATTCCCGTAGTTCCATATAACTGTGCAGGGGGATCTACCGGGAATCCAACCCGTAGTCCCAAAGTAAATGTGCAAGGGGATCTACCGGAAATCTAACCCGTAATCCCAAAGTAAACAGATAAGGGGGGGGGGGGGATCTACCGGGAATCTAACCCGTAGTCCCAAAGTAAATACACAGCAACAGCAAGAAAAATATTCAGAGAAGGGAAATTTCATATCAAGGCAACAAATAATTCTAGCCTAGCACGCTGCAGAGTTCAGGTAAACAGATTGGACAATTAAAGCAATTAAATCACTTAGACATGCTTTCCTAAGATAACGACAGGCTTAATAGTACAAGTAATATAAGCAGGAGAAGAAACATACTAATAAGTACTTAAATAAAACCGGATTTCCAATAATTTGCACAAGTACGCGCTCGTCACCTCACGTACAAGGCATCTCAATTGCCAAATATATCAAACCTAAGGGGAAGGCCCCCCACACAAGGTTAGACAAGCCACTTACCTCGAACCGGCTCAATATCAACCCGATACCACGTCTTTGCCACGAGTACTCGACTCCAAATGGCCCAAATCTATTCAATTCAATTGCATATCGTAAATAACACTTCAAGTAACTGATTCTATAATTAAATTCTAAGCTAATATGCGAAATTAGGTAAAATGACCAAAATGCCCCTCAGGCCCACGTTTCGGAATCGGGTAAAATTTACATTTTCGGAATCCTCATACTCTCACGAGTCTATGCATAACAAGAACACTAAAATCGGAGTTCAATTGACCCCTCAAATACCCCTTTCTAGGTTTCTTAAACTCAAGCCCTAATTATCCATTTCTCCCAAATTTTCCACCACTAATTAGGTCTTAATCACATAAAAACGAGTTATGAAGTCAAAAATATTACCTCCAAGTGATTCCCCTTGAATCCCTCTTCAACCCTCTTCAAAAAGCTTCAAAATCGCCTAACAATGGAGGAACCTAGGCTAAAATTCGCGAAATAGACCTTTTAAAACATTCTGCCCAGGCATTTAAATCCTTCTACGCGAACGCGGTCAAAGCCTCGCGTTCGCGAAGCACAAAAATGACTTTGACTAAAATCCTCTTACGCGAACGCGACAAGACCCTCGCGAA